TAATAATTTACCTTTCTTTGTAGAAATTTTTTGTGAAATTGTTTTGTTTGCAGATGACACCTCGCTAATTTTCAACGTTGACAGGTGTAAAACTAATTATGACGATGTAAACAATACACTTTCCAAGGTACTTCACTGGTTCTCTTCTAATAATCTTAGACTTAATGCGAGTAAAACTAAGTGTGTGAAATTTACTTTGCCGAATGTAAAGCATGCTGAAATGGGGGATATAATTCTAAATGGTGAAAAACTAATTTTAGTCGATACAACCATTTTCTTAGGCGTAACACTAGATCACAAACTTCAATGGAACCCTCACATTACAACACTAGCCGGTAAACTTAGTTCCGCTGCTTATGCAATCTATAAAATAAGACGGCTTACAGATGTCGACACTGCTAGGACAATATACTTCAGCTATTTTCACAGCATTATGTCGTATGGCATTCTATTGTGGGGCACGGCCGCTGACATTGAAACAGTTTTTATTCTTCAAAAACGCGCTATAAGAGCTATATCGCTTGGGATCTCGAACTTCTCTAAGGGATAAATTTAAAGAAACAGGTATAATGACTGTTGCCTCTCAATACATTTACAATTGTATATTGTTTGTGCGTCAGAACATAAATTTATATACGAGGCGCGATGATGTACATAATTTCAATACCAGAAATACAGATGAACTCAAATTGCCACCGTTGAGACTCCAAAAGGTTCTTGGTTCATTTGTGGGTCAAGGCATATGTTACTATAATAAAATACCAAAAGAAATAATTAATTTACCTTTCAATAAGTTTAAAGTGTCTATAAAAACATGTCTCCTTAAGAAAGGTTACTATACTGTTAAAGATTTCATAAATGATAAGTCACATTGGGCTTAATATAACAGACTAAGTCGTTTTACTTTGCTGATTTGGTTGAAAATTGTTTAATCGCCACTTCTAAATTTAAAAGTAGTACCTAGCTATACTTAACTTTTGTTAATTAATAATATTAATGTGATGGAAGTTGACATCAACTTATGTTTTCAATTATTGATGTCATTTTTCAATTGACGACACTGTTTGAAACAAAACAGGGAGAAAAAAATAGCCCTTGCTGAGTTTCTTGCCGGTTCTTCTCAGTACAAGGTCTCCCGGCGTAGATTTACGAACCGATGGCGTAGCGTTTGACTTTCACAAGAGCTTGTAACAGCCTAGACTGAATAAATGAGTTTGAGTTGAGTTGAGCGATCTCAAAAAGAAGTATAACTTGCCCTCCAGGTCCTGCAAAAGAGTAATTGCCAGAGCGAAGTAAGAGCACATTAGCAGCATTGGCGAGAGATTAATAAAACTTCCCTCTGGAACACGCGCGTTTTGGTCTCTTGCCAAGGCTGTTGAAGGAAATTTTTGTAAGCCATCCCTTCCACCCCTGCACAATGGCGACGAATCGATGGCCCATACTGCAAAAGAGAAAGCGGATCTTTTATGCTCACTCTTTGTGTCTAACTCTCCTTTAAATGACAGGGGATACATACCGCCGACCATCCCGCGGTGTGAGAGCTCTATGCCGGATATCCGGTTCACACAAAGCTTAGTGCGTAAAGCACTCTTTTCCCTTGTCATCCACAAGTCGAGCGGGCCTGATGGAATCTCACCAATTGTGCTGAAGACGTGTGCTCCTGAGTTGGCTCCGGTACTAACGCGTCTTTTCCGGCTCTCCTACTCTTTATGTGTCGTTCTGAACTCATGGAAGACAGCTTTAGTGCACCCGATTCCTAAAAAAGGCGACCGCTCACTCCCTACTAATTATAGGCCTATAGCCATCACCTCCTTGTTCTCCAAGATAATGGAGTCTATTATAAATTGCCAGCTCCTGCAGTACCTAGAGGACCACCAGCTGATCAGTGACCACCAGTACGGTTTCCGTCATAGTCGCTCGACTGGTGATCTACTAGTATACCTGACTCATCGTTGGGCAAAGGCGATCGAGACCAAGGGGGAAGCATTGGCGGTCGGTCTGGATATCGCGAAGGCCTTCGATCGGGTTTGGCACAAAGCGCTTCTTTCGAAGCTTCCTTATTATGGGCTTCCTGAAAAGCTGTGCGTTTGGATCACTAGCTTTCTTGCGGACAGGAGCATCAAGGTCGCAGTCGACGGTGCATGCTCGGACTCCAAATCCGTAAACGCTGGTGTTCCACAAGGCTGTGTGCTATCGCCTACACTGTTTCTTCTTCATATCAATGCTATGCTTCAAATTGATGGCATTCATTGTTATGCAGACGACAGCACGGGTGATGCCCTATATACCGGCCGCGCCAACATTTCACGGGAAAACGTCATCGAGTGCCGGAACAAACTTGTGTCTGAAGTCGAAACTTTGTTAAACCGAGTAACGAATTGGGGCCGACTTAATCTAATCCAATTTAACCCTACGAAGACACAAGTATGCGCGTTCGCCGCAAAAAAAATACCATTGTCGTATCTCTTTTTGAGAACACTCCTCTAACTGCCTCAGCTAGTATTGGAATTCTTGGCGTTGACATATCGAGCGACGTCCAGTTTCGGGATCATTTAGAGGGCAAGGCCAAATTGGCCTCTAAGAAGTTTGGTGTGCTCAATAGATCGAAAATGTACTTCACACCGGCCCACCGACTGCAGCTTTATAAGGCACAGGTTCGGCCTCACATGGAGTACTGCTCTCATCTTTGTCGACGACCAGGACCTTTCCGATCAGCTTGATCCTTTGGCTTTGCGTAGGGATGTAGCTTCGCTCTGCATCTTCTATCGCATTTATCACGGGGAGTGTTCTGAGGAATTGTTCCGATTAATTCCAGCTGCTGCATTTCGCCATCGTACATCGCGACAAAAATTTCATCCCCATCATCTTGATGCGTGGCTATCCACAACCGTGCGTTTTAGTCGAAATTTTTTACCACGTACGACAAAACTGTGGAATATGTTGTCGCCAGCAGTGTTTCCGGACCGATACGACCCAAAAACCTTCAAAAAATGAGCGTACTTCTTCCTTAAAGGCCGGCATCGCATTTGTGATACTCCTGGTGTTGCAAGTGTCCATGGGCGGCGGTGATCACTTACCATCAGGTGAGCCGTCTGCTCGGATGCCCCCTATAACATAAAAAAAAAATCTTAGATTAAAACAAAAAGGGTAGATACGGTACGCTCATACTTGCATCAAACAAAAACTGATCCCACGGCAGAGCGAACGGGACGGCGAGATCCGCGTCACTGCATTACCGAACCGAACGAAACAGCACGTTAAGTTTCAACGGCAGCGCGAACGAAACGGCGAGATCCGCGTCACTGCACTACCGACCAATCACGCGACCAGTACTCGACGTCACTACCGAATAAGATTCAAAACAAACAGCATTTTTTTATGAAAAAATATATTTTATAGTACTTACGAATGAAAAGTGATACGGTGGGTTTAATTTTTAGTTCTTGAGCAATTTGAGCACTTTTTAAAAATACACTTAGGCATTGTTTTATCATATAAACACAAAATATTAGCAATATTTCTTTTTGGCGTTCACATGTACGTCGTTTGCATGTCAAATTGTGACTAAAGCGATTAGGGTCGTGGACCACAATTGGTGCGGATCACTTTTGTGAGGCTAGTGCCGTATCTATCCTTTTTGTTTTAATCTAAGATTTAAATGTATTTTAATCCCGTTGAAAAGTGTTTTATTTAATGGTCAACCATATTAAATACCCTAGATACAACAAAACGAACAAAATCGTGGCCGAAACGTGTCCAAAAGGTACATTGTACTATCCACGGAGCTCTGTAAGATGATCGCGTGGTCAAAAACCATATAAGGCATTATTTAAACATTGAAAGTAACCTTAAATGCATACTGTATAAGGTCTTAATTAAAACGCATGCGTCAAAGTCATGACAGTTCGAAATGCAAGCTCGTAAAATTTTACGATTTATTGCTATATGCGGAAGAATATAGACCTTATGCTTTTGACTCTACGCGCAACTTTGAATGCGCTGTTAGCAATATAACAGGTACGGACCGCGAGGAAAAGAGACAGCTATACGGCGACGTATAGCCGACCATGCATTTGAATATAATAAATATTTTATTTTAAATCTGTTTATATTAAGTATTGGAACAAAATTTCAAATACGTTAAATTAACAAACGTTGATTAAATACCTGTCGTAAAAACGATACTTTTCGTACTATATGTATTTTCGTCGCATTTTTACACGTAGCTCTGTGGCATCTTGATATTGTAACAGTCCGCGCGTGACTGTAAACCAAGAAGTGGAGTTCAAGCACTTCTTGATTGGGACACATTTTGAGCGCTCGTGAAGTATCTAGTGTATTTAATATCGTTGTTAATGGTCAAGAGTGGTTTAAAAACAACTGTGACACCTCCGTCTTTTAGTGTATTTTTGATAACGATGGTTGTCTGAAATCTCTTAGTTTGGATCGCTCTTAGCGGTAAAACTGTCAATTGAATCATAGCAGGTAAAATTTTTGTTAACTATTTCGTAACATGTTGCCTATGGCAGGGAGTGACAGCGTGAAAGGAAGCAGTTTGCTATCTCTCTCGCACTTGTGGTTCTTATGGCGCAATTACACTTGGTCGTTTGCCCGAATACGAGTGCCAATGGAATTCGGGTAAACGACTAATGGTTTCGGGTAACCAAAACGAAAGTCGAATAAGCCCGTATTCGGGTAGTTCGGTGTAAATATTGCTTCGGGTGCTCGAATTCGAGTAATGTCGTTCGTGCACCTGAACAGAGATTAACGACCAAAATGTAATTTAGCCATTAGAAACATGACTAGTGTACACTAACTAACAGACAACTAAATAGAATTGGCAGAAAATGCTTTTAGCGTTAAGTCCGCCTTTTGTCCATTCTTGTAATTGTAGCAATAAAGTTTAAATAAATAAATATATATAACCAAACGGACAATCTTAATGCCTTTCAAAATACGTAGGTAACTTGAATTAAAAATCCACTTTTCAATCCTTCCAGAACTTCGATTTCAACGAGTTGGAAAAGTCAACTGAATACGACGGCGGCTACACGGCCGAATCCAAAACGATAAAAGACTTCTGGAGCATCGTGCACAGTTTACCTTTAGAGGACAAAAGGAAACTTCTAGAATTCACCACTGGATCGGACAGAGTGCCCGTAGGCGGTCTGAGCTACTTGAAGTTAGTCATAGCCCGCAACGGACCCGATTGCGACAGACTTCCAACCGCTCACACTTGTTTCAACGTTCTCCTATTGCCCGAATACAGCAGCAAGGAGAAACTCCAAGACCGACTCATGAAGGCGATCAGCTACTCCAAAGGATTCGGCATGCTTTAACGCTGGGAAAACGCAAAGATAGATATATTGTATAAAGCCATACTCGCGGTATCTTTGTAACATTTCAGAATTAAAGTTTGTTTTATTTATACAAGTACATATGTTTTGTTTCCTTTATGTCTTCAATACGGTACCCCTAAGCACGAACCAATATCGAATTCGAATAGTTTGCGGCTGCGAAATGTCAATGTCACATTTGGTATGGAAACTTAAACAGCAGCGCCACAAAGTACGTAACGAGAACTAAAAATCAGTACACATTTGACAATGACATTTCGGACTCGCAAACGTTACGAATTCGATATTGGCTCGAGTTCCTCGATGTAGGGGAATTAGATAGCGCTACGGCAAAAGATACTATTTTTAATAACATTTTTATTAAGAGTAGAATTCATTTTTTGAGACGGTCAGAAATATTCAGGTCTAGAGTTTACAAAATCAAATATCTTTACAGCTGGACCTAACTGAAAAATTAAACTGCGATCGTTTTTGGATTCCTTTTATTATATGGTTATTAATATAAATCTAAAAATATCCACAAAAACATCAACATAGAAATGTGTTATTATAGGAACTCTTTACCGCTATAAAAGTCGTAGTGGCCATCGATAGAAGGGATTGCTCGTCTCGCAGTTGCACTCGAGGTGTCCATTGGATGAATGCTTGTCAATCGATGCTATCGCAAAAAAATTGTCAGCATCAACATTAAACAATTAAATTCACAAATTAATATAATGTCTCTCGAGTGTAGCCGTGTCTTTACCTAGTTAACCGTACAAAATTGATAGTCCATACAAATATTTATTTTTTAGCTTTTAAATTTTGACTTATAATTTACCCTCAAGAGTCAAGACACTACAATTATTATTAATGCAAAATGTGGTAATACTCTGTGTATACTATATGAAAAAATGGGTAAAACATATTTACATTTTTTTTCTAATTGTCAATTAAGTTTCAATTGAAAGTTAAGCCACGCAAGACGCTAGGTGTTGTGTTTGTCTATTTGCACAAAATATTTCTCAAGAACTTGTAACTACTACGAAATGTCGAAATTCTGCGACCTATCTTGAACTTTAAACCCAATGACTAAGGTTGATTATGGATCACATATTTGGCAGTTTCCGTAGTCTGAAGAGCTGCTGCGTGTACGTACAGATTGTCATAGATAAAGTTATCGAAAACTCCGACCCTCTTATTAATAAACGCGGAATAAGCTTTGACTAGTTACACCGTGTTTTGTTCCTATCACTCAAATGTCATTTGTCACTCAATGGACAGAGACAAAACATGGAGTAACAAATCCATTTATTAATAAGGGGGTATGTGACTTAGCTTTATGTGTATAGTACGATTCAAACTTTATGGCGGTTGTGAAGTTAGCAACGAGCTCATCTATGCGCAGGTTTTAGTTTTATGATATCCGACGCCCGGACAGTATCCTACATTTTTTATACTGCGACGTGACTTAGACTAACTTCACAGCCGCTATTTAGTTTGAATCGCACTATAAAATTCTCAATCTTTTGAGAAATTTTAACAATTTGTGGTAACTTCTTTTGTTGTAAGTATAAGATCAGTAATTGGCAAGGGCGTAGATCTTCGAGTTGGGGACGATTGTTTTGAGGCGTAGTTCGTGCACGACGAGCGGGAAGGGCCGGCGGCAGGGCGGAGAGGGGGGCCGCACCGGCGCATCCGCCCCTGAGCCCGCTCCTGTGTCCGCTGAGGCACGCCGCTGTTGCCGTCTGTGACAGATATATTTGTGTCAACCAAACTAAGTGTACGGGAAGCCGGGCTGTCGCAGTAGCGGACAGTTACCGACTCGTACTGCGGGGTGGAGGAAATTACACGCAGGAGTCTTGACGGCGATAGTGGACGGTAGCTTAGGTGAATAAAACCCCTGGTGTTCGGTATTGAAGAAATCGGTGGGCGCTGACAATGGATGGCCGGTGAGAGGAGGCTTCAGGTCCAGAGTGAACCGCTTGTTTCTTCCTGTTCCTTAGGGTAGGAGCGCTTGTCGCTGAATGCATGTCGGAGCCTGTTCCGACTCGAATTTTATATGCTAGGACTGAGCTGGCCAGCGATCCATTACCTCACCCCCGCAATACTTTATTTTTCATTTATTAAAAAATTACATGGGTGCGAGCTTAAAACTATATGTACATACATTAGGCATACAAATAGGCATATTTTTAGCGCAGTTGCGCGTCCGTAAGCATGATATTTTAGGTGTGGAGCGCAAAAAATTGGTCTCCGCGATATTTATGTTTTCCCCCTCCATAGGGCTTCGCCCTGCCACAGGGCTCCGCTGCCCCACCCACGCGCTCCGAGTACGCCGGGTGGGGAGCGCAAAATGTCTTAGGAAATCGTTCTATACAAACTAATTTTGTTTCCTACACGGTACATTTCTATATTTATTGATGTGATGCCTATTTATTTATGCAGTCCTATGCGTTGTCTATCTAATACAATAAGTTTCTAATAAGAATAATAACAAATAACAGCTCTACAGCCCTATAAAGATTACAAATTAAAAAGTCTTAAAAAACCTACTTACATTCATTTAACGCCTAACTATCATATATCATTTTATAGAGAAAGTAAAAATACACAAAATAATATCTTTATCATTACAATTATACCTATAACCTATCAAATATTCGTAAAAAACTATATTTAACCTTTTCTTTAATTATGCCTAAACTATTAAAGTGGTCTACATGAAACTTTGTCATTTTAATCTTATAGCTACCTATTACCTAATAAAACATAAAACAAACCAATTGAAACATAAAAACATACTATTTTCGAAAGCTAACAATTCAGGTGAAACCTTATAAGAATGCTAGAAAGGGACAGCCTATCGTCTCTGTCCCTCCTATCGGTCCGAACTATCATATCCTAGTACAGTTTCCCTGCGCCAACGCTTGGCGTCGCGGCGATCGATTAGACAAATTCTTATAAGATTATTGGTGAGAAAGAGACAGAATATCGCTTTGAACTATCAATTTTACAGTCGTTTACTATGAGCGAAGCTCTTTATTATTGCGATATCCGACTCATTCTAATAAAACAACAAGGAAATAACATTTTTAATGTACACATCCGTTACATGTGAAATTATAGACGTAATCTCTTTTCGACGTAAACTTTATTTCTTCTCGCTTCGGTCGTCGCGTACACTAAGCTTGATAAAGAAGTACGTAGAATGAATGATTTTACAGAATGGTTACCCGACACCGTCTTCCAGTCCGTATTCTAGTCTAAATAATGCTTCGGGTGTCCGAATTCGAGTAATGTCTTTCGTGCACTTAAATACGGGCTAACGACCAAATGTAGGTAATTGAGCCATATGTGTAAACGAACGGAGTCGAGTACGCCCGTATTATTTTTGGTTCCCCCAATGCATCACTGAGGACGCGGGGTCGCTTGCCAATATTCCAGTACCCGCACGTGAGTAAAACAATGTAGAAATTGCATCGAGTGGCTCTGTGGAGACGTTCGCTCTCTAGCCATGCGAGTCAACTGATATCATTGATATTGTTGGGTATTGTCACCTGTGGTGTGCGTCGCAGGTGCAGGAGGCGGCGCAGACTGCGGCACCGGCTGCTTGGCAGTGCGTGTATCGACTGCACACTCTGTGGAGACGTTCGCTCTCTAGCCATGCCAGTTTACTGATATCATTAATATTGTTGGGTATTGTCACCTGTGGTGTGCGTCGCAGGTGCATGAGGCGGCGCAGACTGCGGCACCGGCTGCCTGGCGGTGCGTGTGTCGACTGCACACTCTGTGGAGACGTTCGCTCTCTAGCCATGCCAGTTTACTGATATTATTAATATTGTTGGGTATTGTCACCTGTGGTGTGCGTCGCAGGTGCAGGAGGCGGCGCAGACTGCGGCACCGGCTGCCTGGCGGTGCGTGTGTCGACTACACTCTGTGGAGACGTTCGCTCTCTAGCCATGCGGGTCTATTGATATCATTGATATTGTTGGGTATTGTCACCTGTGGTGCGCGTCGCAGGTGCAGGAGGCGGCGCAGACTGCGGCACCGGCTGCCTGGCGGTGCGTGTGTCGACTGCACACTCTGTGGAGACGTTCGCTCTCTAGCCATGCGAGTCAACTGATATCATTGATATTGTTGGGTATTGTCACCTGTGGTGTGCGTCGCAGGTGCAGGAGGCGGCGCAGATTGCGGCACCGGCTGCTTGGCGGTGCGTGTGTCGACTGCACACTCTGTGGAGACGTTCGCTCTCTAGCCATGCCAGTTTACTGATATCATTAATATTGTTGGGTATTGTCACCTGTGGTGTGCGTCGCAGGTGCAGGAGGCGGCGCAGACTGCGGCACCGGCTGCCTGGCGGTGCGTGTGTCGACTGCACACTCTGTGGAGACGTTCGCTCTCTAGCCATGCGAGTCAACTGATATCATTGATATTGTTGGGTATTGTCACCTGTGGTGTGCGTCGCAGGTGCAGGAGGCGGCGCAGACTGCGGCACCGGCTGCCTGGCGGTGCGTGTGTCGACTGCACACTCTGTGGAGACGTTCGCTCTCTAGCCATGCCAGTTTACTGATATCATTAATATTGTTGGGTATTGTCACCTGTGGTGTGCGTCGCAGGTGCAGGAGGCCGCGCAGACTGCGGCGGCGGCGGCCTGGCGGCGCGCGTGCCGACTGCACACACGTTGTGGAGAAGGCCGCTCGCTCTCTAACCACGCGGGTGCACTGCCGCGCCGTGTTGAACGGCACAGCGACGCGTAAGTAGGCGCCGCTACGCGCTCCACCTGCCGAACGAGGGCAGACCATTAAATTTTTTAAAGGGAAACTTCTTTCGCACGCTTGAGTTGGGGGGTAAGCTGGCCAATGCGTTACGCGTTACGAAAAGTGTGTTCGGGCGAAGCTAGGGTTGCCACCTTTTTTTGTCCAAAAAAGTACTTCGGATATTAAAGGTCGAATTAAAAAGTACATTGTGTCCAAAATAATAATGTTAATAAATATATGTATAATTATATAATATATATTATAATAAGTATAATAATAAATTTATGTTGCTACTAGCAACTTTTAATAAATAATTTGTGGCTACTAAAAATTTGTACTTAGTTCTTTTCCGCAATGGGAAAGGTCATATTACAAAGCCATACAGCCACGAAAATGTTGCAGGAATTAGCTAAGGGCAACGATATTAAATACTCTAGATATACCAACACGAACAAAATCGTGCCTGAAACCTGACCAAAAGGTCGATTGGGGGATCCACGAAACTCCGTAAGATGATCGCGTAGTCAAAAATTAAATAAGGCATTATTTAAACATTGAAAGTCACCTGTAATGAATACAGTATAAAGTCTTAATTAAAACGCATGCGTCAAAGAGTTATGACAGTTCGAAATGCTAGCTCGTAAAATTTTACTACGTATTGCTATATGCGGAAGAATATAGACCTTATTTTACTCTACAATTCTAAATGAGGTTCTAGCAATATAGCAAGTACGGACCGCGAGGAAAAGAAATGGCTATATTACCGACCATGCATTTGCATATCACAAATATTTTACATGAAATCAGTTTTTGATAAGTAATAGAACAAAATTTTCTTCAAATGCGTTGAATTCACAAACATTAATGAGCTACCTGAGGGGCCATCCATAAATTACATCACACGTTAAGGGGGAGAGAGGGGGTCGACGAAGTGTGTCATCGTGTGGCAAGGGGGTGGGAGGTCCTAAAACTATTACTTTACGAAAACATTAACAACCCAAACGAGAATAAAGTGGAGCTATGCCAGTTATAAATAATTTAAAGGAGTGAGTCAATGTCCATGGACTCAAGATTAATATTTTTTGTTTTGTTAATTTCTTTAATTAATAAAGTCAATCGTTTTTTGTTTTGTTAATTTCTTTAATTAACATAGTCAATCGTATTTTGTTTGGTAATTTCTTTAATTGATATAATTAGTCGTTTTTTGTATTGGTTAATTGTTTGATTTGATGTTAATATTATTAAAAAACAATTTAAATTGAAAAAAACTTATTTCAGCTAATGAGCAAAAATTAATCTTTATGATTAACCCTTGCGATGGTTATCATAAAATATGTTGTATTTCTTTTTTGAAATTTCACGAGTTTTATTCCCAGTTGTAGCAGGAGATTTTTTAAAAATCTGTGAATGCAGTTCTAGTAATATTTATTATAATTTTATCATCATCATAAGCATATTATTGTCCCTACTGCTGGGACACAAGTCGTTCCTATGGATAGATATGGATTGAGCTGTGACCAACCACGCTGGTCCAATGCGGATTGGTGGGTGCTAACTACTACAGATGCAGCCAGGAACATCGGCTTAATGTGCCTTCTGAAGCACGGAGGAGCTCGAGATAATACATTTTTGGTCACCCAGCAATTTAACTTATTATGTGTAATCATAATAGATAATGTAAAAATAATACATCAATCAAGGTCTTGCCTGATATACGATATACACATTGAATTGGTCAGACAACCCGCGTTCGCTAGTCATTGGTTCTTAACGCGACGCGAGCTAATGCAATAAGGTCCACTTGCACGACAGTTCGTTTAAGCCTTTTTTTTATTTTAAACAATTGATAAATAAAGGTGGAATGATGTGGTGAGCACGATTAAGCCCTAACTCGAGTGAAAAACTTTCGTGTTAGCGGACCTAATGAAATCAATCACAATTAACTGAAGACTGCCTGAGCAACCCCTGTTCTTGTGAATTACCTACCTTGAATGTGTGTTTCTTGTTGCATGCGTCGCCTCAGTATTTGGTCTGCTACGCAGATCATCTCGTAGGTTACTTGAGCAGGGGCGTATTTACCGTAGGGCTACGAGAGTCACGAACCGTTACTCACCTGGCCTTTTATTTTACTTAGCATCTAGCTGGTTGATCTCCTAGGAGCGCTTTAGCGGGAGATCGTTTACGAGTGTCTTAGCGGATAATCTATGATACTGTATCTAACGAGTAGATAACTCCAGTCTACCTCGAGCACGTGTTTCTTTGCGCATCGCCTGACCTCGGAGTCTGCTATCGCGGATGATGTTGGTACTTCGCGTCTCACCGGGTGATCTCCTTCAAGTGTCCTACGATCCTGTGTCTAACGCTTAGAATATTTTAGCCTACCTCAAATACGTGTTTCTTGGTTCTTCGCCATTTTGGTAGTCGGACGGCGCACTGTGGAATATTTCGGTGTGTTTCGGATTAAAAATCTGTAACTCCGTCAATTTGAAAGATAGACTTATAAAATTTTGCTATAATATAAAATGATACATAAGGATTCATATAAGTAATGTTTGATGAATTGGAATTATGCGTATTTTTTTTAATTAAAAAAGAAATGTCACAAAATGATTTAAAATAGTATTATTAGTATTATTTATTTATTGAAATATTTTTTAGAAACATATTGTACGTCTATTTCTTAATGGTAATTAGCATTTAAGTCTATTAAGATAACTATCATATTATATAGATAATATAAAATTAAAAATGGTAAAATATTTTTAACACTACGCTAACATACAGAAACAAATCAAAATTATCGCAATATATATTTCTTTTTTTTTGCTCAGCAAGATTGACACCCGGTGAGCTTCAGGATCTGAAATAAGTTCATTGACCTTGAGAAGGTGTAAAGTATCTTCATCGAGCTCCTTTACATTTTTTGCATATGGTTTTCTTATGCTCGTTATATATGGATCTGAAGTGTAAAGTAGTGTATTAAACACATCTTCGTTTGTAGCTATTCGAGAGCATTTCCGAGCATGGTGTAAGCGAAATTTTTTATAGTCCTTATTGCGAGATTCTTGAGCATCTTCTGAAAGTTGCCCAATTGGTAATACCGCGAAATGGTTTATGATACTCTCTCCGTGAATTAAAATTTTGTGGACAGATGATGGCATGTAATACCAACTATATTTACTCACGTATATTCTTGCAGTTTCCAGAGCATAATTACCAAATTTCTTACTATCTACCACTATACCAGATGACAAAGCCTGCAAAATTATATATAACCGTTTAATTAAATCAATGTCAATCCCTGTGATATCAGCAAAACAGGCAGCATTGTAAAAAAATCTCCTAGCAGTATTGCCGTCATTACTATTTCCCGTCCCCTGTCGTGGTTTATCGATATTTAGACCCAACTCTTCACGAAATCGCTTTGTACTTCAGCCTTTTTTTCTTGTTTGTCTTTTTTTTCTTCGCTTGTAGCAGACCACGTTTGGAAAGATAGATTATATAATATGTGTAATATCATTTCCATGCAACGAATCCAGGCATGTAATGTGGATAATCCGTATTGATAAGCATTTTAATTTTCAGGCCTAGCTATTACTTTCGTTAAATCATTCATTTGCCTAGGAGTTGCTCCGCATATTGTACATGTGGAACTAGAAGGCGTATCTGTTAAAACTTGTGCCACTTTTCCGTCTATCATCGTCAAAAAAAGTTCATGCTTGACTTGGACTCCCACGCCTTCTATATTAATTATTGATGGAAGCAAAGTTTGTATTTGATTTTTTATTTCATCTACAACCGATTTAGTTTTTTCTGGCGTTTCTTTGCAAAATTCTATAGATATAGGCCGACAGAAACGAACAGATGAAGGCACTGGATTTTGCCATGTGATGGCGCCTGATTCCACGTCAGTTAATATGATAGGCACAAAAGAAGTAATAAATAAATTTGCATCGGAAATAAGTTCAGACTCCTCTGGTAGTGCTTGCTTGTACTGGCTTTGTCCAGATGACACATCACAACCCCATTTGCTATACAATAGTAAATGTTTTTGTCCATTCTTGTAAACCTTATCTATTGATAAAATTCGAGCTGCAGTGTGATCCAATAGATCTTGAACTCTCAATATTTTTGCATAAGTATTTGTGTCTGTTTCATTTCCTGTATTTTATAGTATGGTGGAAATAAAGAACAGTTTCTTTCATCTGTAACGTTCCTGAGATACAGATATTGTGCCTTTATTAGTTCCAAGTCGATGAAGACACTTAATGCTTCTTCATCTGTAAGCCCTTTAATTATTTTTGCATCATCTAATTGATTTATAACGAAAACCTTTTTCTCTGCATCAGCCAACCTTAATTTTTCAACAACTTTTGCTTCAATTCCTTCTCCTATAGAACGCAATCCTTGAAGATATGCGCTTAGAATGTGCTCCAAACCATATTCATTTAGCAAAATGGTGTTTTTTCTTTTTTTGCTTGATTCTGAAGAGTCTCCATATGACACACACGGTCTTCCTCGTTTACCAGAAGAAGTAGACGGTGTAGAGTCTGTTGACACGTTTTCTGATGTTGGTATAGTTAACGAATATTCAGAATCTAACCAATTGGTGTTCTATCTTAAAAAGGTATTTTTATTGCGTCCTGCTTCACTCCAGCGTTTATTAAACGAAGGGATGTCCCTTTGAATATGGTCAATAATAAAACATATATTGACATCCGAAATTTGTTTTCCCTCCAAATATGTTGAAAGTGCCGCAGTCGTTTTTCCGCCTTCTATATTCTGACACTATTAACTCACGTTTAGTACAGTTAAAAGTAGACATGTTGAATAATGAAATAACCGTACCTACTAGAGTACGTAGACGTAAAGACCACTGAAACGGTAATGGAGACATATTTTTTCACTGCCCTTTTTATATTGTTTCAGAATGTGGGAATTATTACAGATATCTATTTTGTCACGGAAAAAGACATCGAAATGATAAAACCTTCATAACAATATCAAATAATTAATTCATAAAATGTACCACAAACTATTGATAATAAAAGTAAACTACGAAACCGCATTTGATAGCGATTTCCGTTCCCAGACTAGTATTCGATTTTTTCACATATCTCCGAAAACCGCAAAAAGCCGCAACAAATTTTTTTATATGTTTTAGATGAGTAACTAACCTATAATTTAACATTAAATTCAAAGCATCGGTAAACAACTCTAAATGTTATAAGATTCGACGAAGTTGAGGAAAAAAAATATTTTTCCATTTTTTCTTTAAATTGGTTTTTAAATTTATATTCGTATTAAAACCAATCAATTGTATTTATTTCTAACCTCTGATAAATGTGCTTTTCAAAAATATATAATACCTTATATCTTTCATTTCAAGTTTTAAAACTATTTCACGTTGAAAAACGTAAATGAAGAACTTAATATTTCCCAGCTGCCTAAACGTTTAACTTTGCTACATGAAAAAAAATACTTTTACGAAATAAAATATGAATTACGCTGCTTTTGAACTATTAAATTATATTCATATATTACCCAATTTCAATCAGTAATAAAAATCAATTTTGAGATGCGTTTGTTCTACCATATTCCACCGTGCGGCGTCCGCGCGAGGACGTGAGCACTGCAGTCCCCTACCCGAATAACCCGCGCTCCTCCGCTACGCGGATCATGTACCTACTTTGCGTCTAGCCAGGAGTTCTCCTACGTCTTTGAATGACTTAGGATCCTGTATCTAACTCTCAAGATACTTCATCCTACCTCGAATAGTGTCCTACTATCCTAACGCGATATTCCAGTTTACCTCAAACACGTATTTCTAAGCACAATCCGCAGAAGCACACCCGCTTCGCGGAAATACTAAGGTAGACCTAGTGTAGACACTTGTGTAACGCACCTCGAATACGTGTTTCTTGGTTTTTCGTCGTGGCGCGGTTTCAGTGGGCGGACGGCGTCGGCGCGCGGGCGCGGGTGCTGCGGTCCCCTGCCCGAACAGCCCGCGCTCCTCCGCCACGCGGATCATGTACTTGGCGTCTAGCCGGGTGATCTCCTGCGGGCACCCTATGATACTGTATTTATCTTATGGCTCTTGCTGCTATGAGCGACCGCTTAAAGGTCTGCTATAAGATGCGAAACCAGATTGCTAAGAGGTAAATATACTAGTTTCAGAGGTTCATGAAAGATGGTGAATGCGCATGTCTAGAGTGCGATAGGTTGATATTATGTAGGTCAGAGCAAAGTTTACTGGTTAGCAGCCGGGTTTGTCATCCCATAGCACGTGTAGAACGCAGGGCTCTAGCTAAGGGAGAGGGCGGATGCATTGTGGGGTAATTACTTACTTTAAAACGGGGCGGCAAACTGCGGAAGATAACACGCCCCTGCTCATATACCCTCTACCTGTAATAACCGCTGCCGTATCTTAAATACAACTCTGGCTACGCGCTCCCACACAAAACTGCGCTGCGACGTCGCACTATGTAAAATTGTAGAACAACGAACATCAAAATCGATTTATGATATGGCGTTGTTCTACCATTTTTCATAGTACGACGTCGCATCGCAGTCTTCTGTGGGAGCCCTACGGCCGGTTGAGCGACGAGAATAAATGCACTTAAATGAGAATAAGAGCACACCACGAGGCGAAGCCCACAGTTTCGAGGCTAGCTAGCGTAAAGATCAGCTATCGAATGCTCACCGAACGTTGCTGGGCTCATGCCAAAAGTGATGGCTGGATAGTTACGCTAGGATGCTTCAACTTTATAGGATTTATCACACCCAGGCTATATAAGCGGTACGTAGATGATACTTTCACAATCCTCCCAACAGATCAAATTTCTGCCTTTTTAAATCACCTTAACTCTATACACCCCAACATCCTATTCACTGTGGAGTTAGAGGCAGATAGTAAACTAGCTTTTCTAGATATTTTATTAATCAGGAATCCTGACCAAAGTTTAAGCCATACTGTGTATCGTAAAGTGACTCATACTGATAGGTACCTCAATGGTGACTCACACCATCACCCGAAACAATTAACTGCCGTAGGAAACTCTTTGTTTCAGAGAGCACGGGGTGTCTGTGACGAACAACACCTGGCAGCTGAACTTCAGCATGTCGAGCAAGTACTGAAGGATAATAACCTGAATGTACCACACCGCCGTCACAGTCGCGTCAAACCTAGCACAGTCGACCGACAACCTGCTATACTACCTTACATGAAAGGAGTCACTGACAAGATTGGGAGGATTCTGAAGCGTGCTTCAATCAATACATACTTCAAGCCGCCAAAGAAGATCAACCAGTTTCTACGACCGGTCCAGTGCAATATACCCTTTCAAGTTGCTGGTGTCTACAAACTTGAATGCGACTGTGGGCTCTCCTACATCGGGCAAACAAAGAGGAGTATAGGGACTCGGGTAAAAGAACATATCGCAGATATGAAACATAGGCGCGAAAATAAATCTGCAGTGTGTGAACATGCATTAGGGGGACCAAACCACTACATTAGATTTGATAGACCACAGATCCTTGCAGCTGAGCGGCGGCTCGTTCCTCGAATGATGCGCGAGGCTATTGAGATTAAAAAATATCCAAATTTCAATAGGGAAGATGGTTGGTATATACCACCAGCTTGGGAACCTATTATACAGGAGATAAAATCCCAACCCCGAGCACACACTGCAAGCCCATCAGATACTATTAGTTCTTTTTGTTTGCATAATTTAACATAAGAAGGAGATAGAAAGCCTCTCTTGAGTTTCTTTCGCCTGTTCTTCTCAGGAAGGTCTCCCAATTTTGGAACCGGTGGTAGTTTACGGTAGTTAGGGTCAAATAAATAAACTCAAAATTACAAACAAGAATTTTAAATAAAATACTTTATTAAGTAAATTAAATAATAAATTCATACATAGACAATAAAATTTTAAAAATCTTCCAATGAAATAACCGAACGCTCAATATAAGTCTTTCGAAGGTAGCTCGACAATTTTAAATAAAAAATCATTATTCTGACGATGCAGACCTAAAAAGGCTGCGAAACGTCAATAAATAAATAAAGTTTCGTGCATTAACCCGTAAAAACTAGTTTTATTTATAGGATTTACCCAAATTGTGACAACTCCTTTAAAAGAGGCGTGAAGTATTTCTGCAGGTGGGAAAGGTGAGGATGGTTGGTGGTTGTTGGTGGCAGTTTGTAACTGATGCACCAGCTATCTTCGCGTCTGGACTTTACCACCACTTAACATCAAGTAGGGTAGAGTCATCTGCCTACCTAACTACAAAAAATACACTTTATTATGACGCCTCTATTATTTGTCTGTTTGTTAGCGGGCTGGATCTCATTGGACACTGACAACGAAGGTCAATAAACAAAGAAGAGGCAAAGGTCAATGCAGACAACGCGCAAAGGTTGCCCCCAAGAGTCCAAAAGCTTTGGTTATGGCTGACTAAGTATTAGATAGGCCACATACTTAGATGTTTGTTAGCCAAAGACTTCCACTCAAGTCGTTACTCGCCAAAATTTGTACTTCTTATTATCAATGTATAAATAAGTAGTCTACCAAATAAAAAAAAATACCAACCTTCCTCTGGATGAGGCCCAGGTAGCAACCGTCTCTATCTAAAATGTAGTTGATGTCTAAACCATTTCCTAAATTTGGCAACGTTGTCATTTCGAACAAATCACAGTCTGGCACCTAAAAGCAATAAATGCATTTAAGTATACCTAAGTATAAGTATATTTAGGAAAAAAAGTTAAACTTCATGATAATGTTAGCTTAATTTCTACACAAAACATTGACACACATTTCTGAGCTATAGGATTTCAGAGGATTTCTGTACCTAAATAATGCTTTTAACTTCTCAATTCAAAATTAAATTTAACAAAATCTTCGAAGGGATCAGTTATAATTTCTTATTTTTGCTGAGTCAGACGTGAATGGCTTTAGGGCTAACAACTCGATCGTTTAAATTGAAACTGAAACTGTTTTAACATGTGATAAAATGAACCTTATCAAGATTTTAAAATTAGGTATACATACAACAATTCCTGGGATATCTTTATTAGGGTCCCTTGGGAACTGTTTGTTTTCTTCTGGCATCTCAGGAATGGGCCTGGCGGGGGTAGTTCCAGGTCTAGAACCGACATCCATGCTTTGTTGTTTCTTCAGCACAGTTTCTCCGCTAGGGGGCCTTGTCCTAGTCGTGGTTGGCGGAGACGAACGACTTTTAGGTGAAGAGCTAGTCACTGACAAGTTGTCTTCGACATCTTTCTCTGTGTCATCGGATCGATTCAAAACATTGTCCAAAGATTCGGATGACTCGGTGCCGACTACCTCACTCACTTCCTTCTTTGGACTCTGAAATAAGGTACATTAATACTGATGAATATGCTTTGGTGTCGTATGTTGTTAATCGATTTTATCAAAATTCGTGTTTTGGTTTGTTGAGATTTTGTTTCTCCTCTGGGTTGGAAATGCAAAACAAAACACACCAATTATTATTTCTTAATTATGTTTTCTTTTGTGATTTATATTTTGATCTGGTAGTAATTCTATGGAAAGTGTGATTACTAACATGATGATGGTCTCTGTGCTTCTTCTTCATCAGAGCGTGTCGTTCCCTCGCCAGTCGATTAGCTTCAGCGACCGCCCGTGTCACTTGCGCTTGATTCTCTGCTTCCAATGCCGAATGTGTCTCATACAGGATCAACTGAATCTATATTACGACAGCATACGGATTCAACAGAACATAAATATATATGAGTAAGGCAGTGTCAAAAAAAATTGTGGTTCTGTAGGTATATTTTTAAAACACACACCTGTGGTTTTGATAATAAAGTTTTTAAAGTCCTCTTTTGTTCTTCTAATATCGACTGCACACGTGCTTTTCCGTTGTTGTCGATTTCCGATTCAGTGAGAATCTAAAAGCAAAGTTAAAATTAATTTTATTTTATTACAAATGGCGCCAAAATCTAGGCATAGATTGGTAGATGCTAACAGAAATAAGAAATTAATATATCTTTTTTCAAATTGGATGTATAGTATAACTCTTATGAAACGTCCAAAAATTTTTTGAAGTTATACTTCTTTAGGCGCGTTATGAAAAATGATGAGAGTGAAATTTTAAGATGCGCGCGCATCACTGTAACACAAAATTTTAACAGCATGAAGTTGGTCGCTTTAGCGACCAACTTCATGCATTACTTTTGTGTTTACCGCACATTAAGAAAATCTACTAACAAAATAGAAATAGAATCTCTATTTAGTGGGTCCTAACGACTGCATTGTGAAGGCCTATCAAAAGTATTTATTAATCTGGAACAACGGAACCAAAGCGCGATTCAGGAGACTACAGCGCCATCTCTTGACCATTGCTGTAGAAACAAAAACCACATCTTTATTTTTTGTAATAAAGTAACAGTTATAGGTATTCATATTTATAATATCAAAAGTATTTATTAATCTGGAACAACGGAACCAAAGCGCGATTCAGGAGACTACAGCGCCATCTCTTGACCATTGGTGTAGTAGAACCAACAACCACATCTTTATTTTTTGTAATAAAGTAACAGTTATTATAGGTATTCATATTTATAATATTTATCCACATGTTTCTAGTTTGTATATTCGGAATACGTGTTTGAGTTTCATACAAGTGCAAATCACATATGTTCTAATAAATTATATTCAGTAGCGATTTTAATTGAATATTTTGATTATTTATTTATTTTTTCAAATTAAAACTGAACTTTATTGACTGTGTCCTTTTCCAGACTTTTTAATAATTTATTGTAATTAATTATTTGCATGCAATTAAAAACTAATTTTAAACGATGCCAAAGAAGGATAACTTATCACGCGCCTACATAAGTACACGCACCCATTTTTTTTCCCTTTATTGGATATATTTTTTAGCTGCGAAGAAAAACAAGCGAAAAAAACTCCACATCATTAAAAGTATAACGTAACAACATTTACAAATCATTATGTTGTTACAACGTCAACACAATCATGATTTTTTTAATATAGAAAACCTAATGATTGGAACAGTTCAAACCCAAGCATTTTTGAATGATCAAATGAACTTACCTAAGTGAAGTTCGATCTGAATTATTCTGTTGTCGTCGAAAGGATTTTTTTTTCTTTACTATGTACCCTCAGTACGTCCAGCCAGTACGAACACAGTTTAGAGCTTAGTTAAAAAAAGTGGGAGTTAAAATCAGCTGAGGAAGATTTGCTTGAACGTGTTATTGCATAAAAATATCACCTCAAGCATAGCTGGGTCTCTGCCTTGTCCACAAAATAAGTCTATAAGGTCTGACATCGTGAAGTAGGAGTTAGTTGGTGTTGGTTAGTGAACATTGCGAGTAGGTACTGCGTTTAGGCGATTTGCTTGAAAGTTTTATTGCAATAAAAATACATCCATCTTAGCTACGTCTTTGCCTCGTCCACAAACCAAGTCTATGGGATATGACTGCGGAGTAAGAGCTAGGCGGAGTTCCCAGTACTGTGACTACTCCATTCGGAGCATTAGCCACCGCTGCTGGAGCCTCGCTCCACTGACACTTAAAAGATGCTAAGGTAGGTTTGCTTCAAAGTTATTTGTTTATTACCTCTAGCATAGTTAAGTCACCGCCTCGTCCACACACCAAGTCTATAGGGTCTGTGACAGCAGAGTAGGAGTTGGGTGGAGTTGCCAGAACTGCGACTACTCCATTCAGAGCGTTGGCTACCGCTGGAGTCTCGCAGTGCACCGGCTCGCTCAACACACAGACCGGGGCTCCGGAATGGGGTAAATCGGACGCGTCAATACCCAAGTTTCGGAGAGCGCATACGTAGCTCTCTACTCTGAAATTTGTAATAATAAATACTTCATAGTATTCCTTACTTAATAGTATTCAGAAGACCTACACGGTGGCCAGGCCCAGGCCAATCTCTTAATTATCCTATACTCTAACTGTATGAAAATAGAAAAACGTGAGATTCTCAACGTCGACGTGTGGTCGAAATTCATGTATTAGAATTTATGTCAAACTGATGCGTGATCTTCGTGACTCAGCGCCACCATGCCTTGGAGACAGTTCGCTAACATAGAGTCTATACTCACTTGTCTCCCGCTCCGAACACAACCAGTTTCCCTAGTTGTGGAGTCGCCGGCCGAGGCGGTGCCGTGGCCTTCAAACAGGCGGCGAGCTCACGCAGCTGCGCCGCCAGATAGGCCGAGTAATGTGGCGACGACGCGTGACTCCGTGTCATCGCGCCTTGAAACACTTCGCTAACATCTCGACACTTGTCTCCCGCTCCGAACACCACCAGTTTCCGTAGTTACGGCGTGGCGGGTGCAAGCGGCGTCTTCGAACAGCTCGGCGTCAAAGCGGGACTCTGCGTCACCCCTCGTGACTCTGCGCCAGTCACACCTTGTAGATAGTCCGCACGAAGAGTTCAGCACAGAATCTATACTCACTTATCCCCCGCTCCGAACACCACCAGTTTTCCTAGTTGTGGAGTCGCCGGCGCGGGCGGTGCCTTGGCCTTCAACACGGCGGCGAGCTCCCGCAGCTGCGCCGCTAGGTACGCCGAGCAGCGCGGCGACGACGCGTGACTTTGCGCCACCACGCCTTGGAGGCAGTTCGCGCGGAGAGCTCGACACAAGGTCGAAGCACCTTCACAGAATTCCCGCTCCTAGAGGTATGTTTGAAATTTTCTTGGGTGGCTTAGTAAACAACTTTATCCATTCCATATCATACGCGAGGAAATTATCTGAATTTGCATTTCTCTAAAGAGCTTCATGGTGTTTGGTTATAGAACGGACGAGTGACTACGTGACACAAATACTCTATAGGGCATTGTGCCGCTTGTTATTTTAAAATTGTTTACTAAAAGAAGCTAACATGGCATGAAAGACGGATCTTCTTTTAGATACTTAATAGTCCTGCTGATAAAGAATTACGTTTTAAAAAGCTCACCTGTAACACTATAACGCCATCTCTCACAAGATCCAGCTGACCTATACCGGCATTATGTGGTGGTCGCAATGTGATAAATCTGAAAATAGTGATCAACAGTATTAATCTGGTTTTAAGTACGATGTAAGAAGTTTTAGTTAGTTATTCAATATTGACTGTACCTGGGACATACGCGATCGAACCTATACTCTCCTGCGCATAGCTGACGCGAGTTACTGTAGGAATAGCCGAGTTCTTGCAACCTCTTCACCAGCAAAGCGACTTTCCTTAACAGAGAAGTGAAACATCATCATCATCGCCACCAATAACAGCAGATGCGATAATGTTTACAAAAATTTTATACACACAACAGCTTCAACAAAGCAAGGCGTTAGTCGAGTAATTAAATGAACCATTTTATTATTATTACTAAGTCCTAACGTAAGCATTTTCTTAAGGCGCTGTACGACGACCTGTGTAGTCGCGGGCGCCGCGCAGGGTTGCCAAACGTATGAGAACTCTAACGTTTGAGATTTAGCAGGTTCTATACATGATACGAGATAAATAGAAATCTCGTACGCTTTGTGATGGCATTATGAAGCTGTACTTACTGAGTCGATCCTTTGTGGGCTGGATATTTATTTACTACTTTCTGATAATATTTTTGGTTTGTGATCAAAGTGTACGAGATTTCTATTTACCTAGTATCATGTATAGACTGCTAAATCTCAAATGTTAGAGTTTTCATACGTTTGGCCACCCTGCGTGATGCGGCCCCGCCCGCGATAACACACGTCGTCGGACAGCACCTTTACGTTCTTGGGCATGGGCGGATTTATGTGCCCCCGTGCCCCCCCCCGACAGTATTTTAGTATCTTCGGCAGATGCCTACAAAAGAGCAACAGTGCTGCCAAATACTATAGCTCTTTGTCAATTGCTGTGCACGTTTCCAGTGACTACTAGCACTGCCGAGCGAACTTTTTCCACCTCACGCCGATTAAAATCATATCTTCGCAACAGGATGACAGAAGAGCGTTTAAATGGATTAATGCATATCCATCAAGACATTACGGCAAAAATGGACGCTAATGAAGTGCTGGATATCTTTAACAGAGAACATAAAAGAAAGAAAACTGTCTTTATTAAACCTTAATTTTTTCATTGTTTTGACTATTTCATAAACCTTTCTATACATACGTGGGTGCGTGGGACACACGGAAAGTTTTGAGAAACTAAAAAACTAACTTATATGAAAAAATATTTTTATTAAATCCTTTCAAAGAACTCTCCAACAGCCTCTATACAAAGTTTCATGCGTCTGAACCAATTTTCAAAACATTTTTTCCAGTCCTCCGCAGACAACTCTTTCACGGCCTTCTCAAACGCTGCTAGCGCTTCTTCCAGCGATGAAAACTGTATCCCTTTGAGCTGATTTTTCATTTTAGGGAATAAAAAGAAGCCAAATCAGGACTGTAAGGAGGGTGTAGCAAGATTCTGACTGGTGTGGAGTCCAGGAAGTCCTTCATTTTGATCGCAGAGTGCGCGGGCGCGTTGTCGTGGTGAAGAAGGACCCCGCGGAGCCCGGTGTTAAGTCGCTTGTTGCTCATTGCAGAAAAAACTTCTGGCAGGCATTTGGTTCATTTTGAAATAGCCAAACTGTCGACTGACGCTTTTGTTTCTGGATCGTATCAATAAATCCAGGATTCATCACCTGTCACAATATCGTAAACGCGCCGTGACGAGCCTGCATCAAATTTTTGTATCATACCACTGCACCAATCCACACGGGCCTACTTCTGAGTTTCGGTGAGGTCGTGCGGCACCCAGTGGGAAAAATATCCTCTTTACGCATAGGTGCTCGTGCAAAATCTTGTGCACACTTCCTGAACCAATCTGCAGAGTATGCTGAATCTCTTCGTACGTAATTCGTCTGTTTTATTGATTTTTTTTTTACTGCCAGCACACTTTCTTCGGTGACAGCCGTCGTAGGACAACCACTCCTTTGTTCATCCCCCAAAGTAAGATGACCGCGTTTGAACTCGCTACACCAGCGGTAGATGGTTGCTTTTGAAGCTCCTTCATCCATAAAAGCAGTTCGAATTCGATTAAATGACTCATCAGGTTTTAAGCCACATTTAGAATCGTAAAAATTCATAGCATGAAAACGTTCTCGATGCAGATCCATTTTTTAATGAGACAAGAAAAATTTAACTGGCTCTCGAAATAATGCGGAGGGAAATTTGAAAATCGAACAGTGGTATTTTTACTCCAGTGGCCAGTGTCTAATACATAAAAATCTTTTTTTTGCAAAACTTTCTGAGCGGCCTGGTACTTGAATTGTTATTTTTTTATGCCCATGCGTTACTAGTGCCCCTCCCAGAAAAAAATCCTGAATCCGCCCTTGTTCTTGGGTCGTGGTCCTATTCAAACTAAGTCCGGCTGATCCAGCCCAGATCATTAAGAGCTGTTTTTAACGCCCTGTTAAAAAAATATCACGTCTAATACCGTATTACTTTACCGACAGGTAGGAAATGTTTTGTTATTAATTTCATTGCTGGTATTTATTGTGGATATTAAAAAACTTTTAACTTTTGTAACAATTTCAAGGATATAATTTAGCTAGGCTTAATTAGACTTTCTATGAATTTCGATTCCGTTTCAAGTTTCTTAATTTTTCGGGAAGTGCTTGACGTATGATCCATTAATATTGTAAGTTGATCATTTAGTTAGACTTCTGATAAAAACGGTTACGTACTTTTCCTTAAATGTGTTGACCCAACCAGTGACAGTTTCCTTGTTGACGCACGCGGATATGCGCTCTTCGCGCAGGTGAGGAGGCAAAAGTTCCGATAATCTACAAAAAAAATACAAATATTTCAATAATACATAATTTCATACCATTATTTGCTTGTTGGTACACGCAGAGTAATACGACGAATCTTGGTGCAAGTGGGCCTAAGTATTGTATACCTATCATTATTAAGGTCTTATAGAAATTAATTAAACTGTTCATAATGACAATGATAGTGAATTCTGGATGGTTTGGCAGTAAAACAAGAAAACAGAAGCGCCAGCTCCTAACTTTGCCAAACAGTAGTTCTATGAGTCCCATGTAGTAGTCCCATCTACAGCTAGTGTAAATGTGAAAGAAACTTGAAAAGGAGATTGCTCAGCTTCCATACATGTTCGGCCTAAAGACAAATAATCATGTAAAAATGTTTCCTAGATACGAAATTATATATAAATTACTCTAGAAACGAATTTTATTGACGGACACCCCTGAGAACTCCTATAAACCATATACACTGAATGATTTTGAGGTTATGTTTGAAAATAGATACATAGGTATTAAAATAATAAAAAACAAAAAAAAAATGGGTGCGTGTACTTATGTAGGCGCGTGAGAAGTTATCCTTCTTTGGCATCGTTTAAAATTAGTTTTTAATTGCATGCAAATAATTAATTACAATAAATTAATAAAACGTCTGGAAAAGGACACAGTCAATAAAGTTCAGTTTTAATTTGAAAAAATAAATAAATAATCAAAATATTCAATTAAAATCGCTACTGAATATAATTTATTAGAACATAATTATTTGATTTGCACTTGTATGAAACTCAAACACGTATTCCGAATATACAAACTAGAAACATGTGGATAAATATTATAAATATGAATACCTATAACTGTTACTTTATTACAAAAAATAAAGATGTGGTTTTTGGTTCTTACTACACCAATGGTCAAGAGATGGCGCTGTAGTCTCCTGAATCGCGCTTTGGTTCCGTTGTTCCAGATTAATAAATACTTTTGATAGGCCTTCACAATGCAGTCGTTAGCACCCACTAAACAGAGATTCTATTTCTATTTTGTTGGTAGATTTTCTTAATGTGCGGTAAACACAAAAGTAACGCATAAAATTTTGAGTTACAGTGATGCGCGCGCATCTTAAAATTTCACTCTCATCATTTTTTCATAACGCGCCTAAAGAAGTATAACTTCAATAAGTTATATAGTAAACTAGGGAAATCAAGCCAAATACCGAAATTATGTATTAGATTCAGATATATAGAGCATGTAGATCAACAGATAGTTGCCTGTTTTTAAAGTTAATGTACAAGAGTAACTTTTAAAATCAGGTATCATCTATGCATTTCCGGTTAAAATATGGTACTCTGTGACAGAAACTGGGTGATGACTGTAAATGAGCCACAGATTACAGGGAATTTTTAAACTCTCGTTAACCAAAGAAAGCTAAGAGATTAAGGTTATACAGCCATATCTTCAGTAACTTCATTATTTTTGTTATATTTATATTATAACCATATGTTAGATTTTTAGTGTATCACACCTTATAACGTGTTTGGCGAAATATGTATGGCAATTGACTTTATGGTGTCGCCAATCATCTATAATTGTCTTAGCACATTTGCATGTAGTGTAAATAATAATATAGTTGTGGATATTAATACAACAGTGTAATAAAAAAAAAGTTTATTTTATCCATCTTTACAAAAAAGATTTGTTTTGATGTTATATAAACAACTTCGATCAGTCTTGGGCTGAATGTTACTACACCCATAGCCATTAAAAATTATTCGTATGTTTTCCAAACCGGTAAAATTAAAAGTACATTTTTAAAAAGAATATATTATACAAAAGTGTCCGTTAAAATCTAATGGCTGTAAAATAAAGTATAAATTACGCCAAGAATTACCGTATATGTCAATATTTTTTGTACATTTGGGCCAGTTTGAGCAATCTCCTTTGCTAGTTCGCTGTCGTCCGTAGTTTTTGTTATTGTTTTACCGACACTGGCAGTTTGTTTTTTTACGTTAAAAGGGTGGCAAACAAGCATATGGCCCGCCTGATGATAAGTGGCCACCATAACCTAAAGACGCTGGCGATACAAATAAATCACTCTCGCCGTTGCCTCCCTCGACCCTAATATCCCTGACCACGTGGACCTTATTCGCCGACAGAAACACAACACCACCGGTAGTGTTATTTTACTGTGGTCATCTGTAAGGTGGAGGTTACTTCCTCTGACGAAAGCTCCAATTCGAGCGGGTAATCCGCTATGCTCTACCTCCAAGCCATACCTGACAGGTTTACCTGTACAGTTTAACTGTACAAGTAAACCGGAGCGTGTATGTCACATAACTGCGCAGGTTTCCACGCCTGTACAGGCAACTCGAAAAAATATGAATTTTGATATTTTCTACCTGTGCAGTTTAACTGTGCAGGTATAACTGAGCGTGTGTGGCGGTCATCTGCGCAGGCGTCAGTTGTCCGGTGATTGTTAGAGCGATTGGGGTCATGGTTTCAACTGAAAGTTTGTGCAGGTTTACCACTACGTGTATGGTCTCTCCTAAACTCAAGTTTACCAGTGCAGTTGAACTGTACAGGTAAACCTGTCAGGTATATCCTAGCGTATACACGCTTGCTTTCAGAGCCCTTTTACAAAATTGCGCCGCTGACGTACTAATCGGCGCGTAAGTAGATTTGCACTAGTATATATTGCATTTTACGGCTGATATTTCAAGTCTTATAAAATAATTATTAATGAACTAATTATAAAAATGTATTCATATTTCAGTAGTACAATGATGGCAGATTAGTTTTATGAAAGTTTTTGATAGTAATTCTATATAATTCAATATCAAAATACGAGGTAAACCTACATTATTTTTTGGGTGAACTCACGGAGGGTTGAAGCCAAGGCTATGAATGTTCTGCAGCGGCAAATTCGTCGGGTTCGCGGCGGTTAACTTTTTTTTTTATATTCAATTTTTAAGCGCGTAACGATTAACTGTACTTTTACTCTTCTCTTCAAATATAATTGTTAAACAGCGAATTAATAATATTTATTTCGAGTTCTGCGTTATTTAATCCAAGAAGCCTCCTCCGCTACATAGACTGGACCTTCGGAACCGGATACAAAACACGAAGAAAGCGACCTATACGAAAAAGCGACTTAAGCGAGTAGACGGAGTGACTGCTCGTCTTGGATCATTTGCAAAATATCTGCTTGCATCTTCCTCAACCAGCGATCAGAAGCAACCCTTAGCTGTGCGGAAAGAGAAATACCTTATTATCGTCTGGGTGTACCTGCAGAACTGTAAGTACTCCGTATATTTTCACTATCCACCAAAATGAGCAACGATAAATTGGTAGTTCCCGAAAAATCACCTAATTCAAATAGCGACAGTGAAATTCATGCATTAAATAAGAAAAGAGGGGTAATACGGAGTAGATTAACGCTTTTAATAAAATATATTAATGGCTTAGATGCACAGGAACTACTTTCAAATTTAAATAAACGGTCAGAATTAGAAACGCGAATTCAAGGGGCTTCGATATTTTTTAATGAATTTAGCGCTATTCAATCTGAGATAGAAAACTCAGTAAACGAACATGAGCTTTTTAAACAATTAGAATTGCGTGAGGGTTTTGAAAGCTTATATTATGCGACCGTAGCACAAGCTTTTAGTAAGTAGCTTTTAGTAGTAAGCTTTTAGCTTACTTTCGTCTGGTGAGATCGCTAATGCTAATTTACATGCAGTAAAATTGCCTACCATCGCTATGCCTATCTTTGATGGTTCATATGAGCATTGGTTGGAGTTTAGAGACACATTTCTGTCCCTCGTTCATGATAATAAAGATATCTCGCCTATACAAAAATTTCACTATTTGAAATCCTCTCTAAAAAGTGTGGCAGCGCTTGTAATAGATTCTTTGGAATTTTCTTCAAACAATTATGGGGTAGCTTGGGAATTAATTTGTAACCGTTACAATATAACACTAGGTTGTTGGTTCATAACCATGTTAAGGCCTTATTTTCAATTCAAAATATTGTAAAAGAGTCACCTGGTCAAATTCGAAAACTAATTGATACCATTTTAAAAAATTTACGCTCTTTGAAACTGTTACATGAGCCGGTAGATTCATGGGATACACTCATAATTTATATGGTAGTTTCAAAATTAGACAATATTACCGAACGCGAATGGGAAAAATACAGAGGTTCGATTCCCATGGACGGTTTGAAAGATATACAACCTTTAACAACCTTCAATAAAATTAGAAAATCTAATTAAATTCTTAAAAGACAGGACCGACATGTTAGAAACTTTACAGGTTACACACAGTCACAATTCGAAAACGTATCCTAAAGAGGCGCATAATTCCAAAGTGCACTGTCATGTTTTGCCTAGTACGAATCACAACAATTCACATCACTTTAAATCATCGCGCAGCTGTGTAGTATGCAACGGCGATCATCCTATTTACACATGTAATACGTTTAATAAATTCACTTTACACGAAAAGCTTAAAGTGATTGAGAACAAAAACTTATGCCGGATCTGTTTGCGAGCGGGACATTCATTAGCAAACTGTAGATTCAGCTCCTGTCGCAAATGCAATCAAAGACATCATACAATGATTCACAGCGATCAACTGATCACTGCTGCGCCCGCGACGGCTGGCCCGCTCGATAAGGAACCGGTTTCCCCGCCCGGCTGCAAGACGGGAGCTAATGCGACATCCGATGGATGCACGTATATTCATACAGCACACTTAGATAATCATTTAATACAAACCGATGAGTTATATAGTGTGCAATCAGTATTATTATCAACCGCGTTGGTTGAAGTAACAGGCAAAAGCGGTAAGCGTCAGGTCGTGCGCGCTTTACTTGACTGCGGTAGCGAACGCAGTTTTATTACGAAAAAATTATGCGATGATTTGAACTTAAATACGATACAGTCCATTTTTCAAATAAAAGGCGTTGGTAATTCGGTATCTCATAGTACTCAATCGTGCACTGTTGATATAAAAGCGTTAACAAA